TAAGTACCTGGAATCATTTTGACTCAAAACCCGCTTCCTTTTGTCTTGACTTAAATGGGGCTGCTCACGTGCACTGGCTAAAATAATTTAAGATTGGGACATAGGTCCAGGTGCCTTGCAGAGTCCCACCACCTGACACCATGCACTGAAGAACGGGGATGTGCTGGCAAAGGTGGAAACCTGGTGACCAGCCTGACTGAATCGCAAGCTGCACATGACATCTTGTGAAACAATTTACCCCCAGAGTCCAGGAGACCATTCCTAGGGCATTTAAGTTGTCCACTTCTTCTGAGCGAAGCCAGGTAACACCAAGACACAACGATAGCATTTTCCACCTGGGAGCGTTTTCAGAAACAAGAGCTCACAGTGGTTACCCTGGCAAAACTGGAAGCAGATGACAACAGACACCAATGGTCAGGGTGTCCTGACACTTTCCATTCCAGGACCTGAGTTCTTCTGTTGCTATGCCTGTTACCGATCTAACTGTTCAAAACAACAGCTTTCCCTGGTGGTGTTCAACCTCTAGCCAATTTGAGTTTACAAGTTTCAGCAAAACTTGGGTAGGCTGTTTTGAAGAACAAGGTAGACTGTGAATGGCTTTTGGTTTTCTTTGTTTGGAAGTTCTACAGAAGCACATTACCCTGGGGCAGGAGAACTGCTTTTGCTGTCCTTGTGAAAATATGCCTGGGATTTGGCAAGTTACAAAGCTTAATATATTATATCACTGTTTGGACATGCTCTGTAAAAGGTCAAAAAACTTAATCTACCCTGAATCCATTCATGGCAACAGGCATCTACTGGTTCTGGCCACCAGGTCAGCTCAGTGTCTTTCACACTCTGCAATGTCTATTTATTTCTTGTCTCCTGTTAGCAAAACCAAATCCCGCAACTGAAGGCAATGCCACACTGAACCAAACGTGATCAGAAAGTCTCCATAACACTCATTAAGATCAGGCTTTTGCCATTTTCAAACTGCACAACTATCCTTGCTGAGAACTGATGGAGAAACATGTCTCTAAGAAAGGAGGTAACTGCAACGCTATCACCACCTCCCTCCTCTTCTCCTCAGGAAGATACACTGGCATAAGAGGCAGCACAAATGTCTCCTTGCTGCTGTGAGGAAGGAAAAATTAAAAAGCCTTTAGCTGTTGGTACAGGGAGTACTGTAAGAAGCCTCCTGGAGGAGAAGGAGAGGAAATATAGAGGATATGCTCTGGTTACAGTGAAACCCAACAGAGGAATTTTATAGTGCACGTACTTTTTTAAAAGCCACACGTTTTACTTTAAGCCTGTTCCATTGTACTTGCCAAAGGAAAGAGAAGAAACCTCACATAGCGCCTGGAGAGGTTTCTCCCCAGGAAATCCTCACGTCTCCTTTGCTTGCACTGCTGATGTTGCTCAGAGCTGTCTGTCAGGCGACCTTTACAAGCACATTACCATGTTTGACAGCAACCCTCCACCACAAAAGTTTCCAGAGAAGTTACCCTGCTCCGCAAGGTTTCTCATTTTCCCTATTGGCTGCATAGCATTTCGGCGCTCTGCTAATTATATCAACACTCAGATACAAACTCACCAAAATAGACGGTGTCCTGAGGCCCCAGCTGCAGGGAAACAGACGTTGTCTTTAAATAATCCAGGTAGAGAGGCAAAGGGGGTGAGAAAGCACCCCTGGGACACCTCCCACTGCTAATGGGGACTGCAGACAACCTCGCTGGGACCAGCTCATGTCACTAATTAGGGTGCAGGTCCCAAGGCTTCAAAGGGACAGAGACTGACCAGGGGGGGTAATGCCATGAAGGAGATGCAGTGCCACAGCCCATTGTCAGTGGGACAAAGGGGCCTATTATTGCTCCCAAGAGCAGGGCAGTTCTTACCGTAATTAGGAGACAAAGATGCACGATTTAGGATTTTACATAATCAAGAGATACTCTCCCAAGCGGGAGCCCCTCTCACACAATCAGTGGATTAAGTATTGTTTATTCTGCTGCAAGTAAACAATGAGGTCCTCCCTGCTCGGGGCTTTACATGAAAAAGCGGTACTGGGGAAGACAATGCAGGGTGCCTTTTCATCTGACTTTGAACAGCTAACCCTGTGATTTAAAGTTGTTCATTTGACAGTATCTGGAAGGGTAATGGCCCACCCTGTAAATTAGTTGCTCGCACACTGATCCCGGGGCTGTCAGACAGCCTTACCTCTTCTGCTACTTAGCAGAGGGGGGCCGGGACAGAGAGACGCTCTGGGGGCAAGAGGCTGTATTTACACAACAGCACTACAATGGCAGGATTAAAGGATCACAAGGAAGCTCCTGCACACCCCGGCACTTTGCTGCTGCTGCTGCTGGGGATGCATCCCTAAAGGTAGGTTGGTACCACTGTCAAGGCAATGCATGCTGGTGCATGGCTCCAGAGCCGATGCCTACAATAATTTTTATACTAACTACTGGGGGAGCAGAAAGGAGTCAGATGTTTGCCCTGTGGTTTACAAAGGAAGGCCCGGCTAGGCAGATTGAGCATCACTTATTTTTGGTCATGACAAAACAGTCTGTGCTGGGCTACCTAAAGCAGTAGCTGCAAACCAACTGCCAGATCCAGAGCATCTGGCTCTGGGATGCACAACACCTGGTACCTGCCTCACAGAAGTCCTGATTAAGTGACTCTGCTTTTACAATATTGGCAATAAAAAGAGACTGAGCGTGTTCTGCTCCCTGCTCTTTGCTCATAACACAGCTGCTACGCTTTTTTGTTTGTTTGAATTTTGTTTAAGGAGAGTTCTTCCTCCTTGTCTTCTATAATAGGGAAACACCAGGATTTGATGACGCCTTCTAACATTCTGCAGTTTGCTCTCCTGCCATGAGCGCACCCATACACACGTGCCTCCTGCTCTGATACTCTAGCAAAATATTCTTTTCTTCATCTCTTTCACTCAAAAAACCACCCCTAAGCCTCACCAAAAGGAATCATTTCAGTCACATGAACTCGGGATGGAGTATGGTGCACCACATTCAGAGTATCTTGTTGAATCCTACAGCCTTGCAGAACCCTGGGAACCAGGGGATTACAGCCCCTGCCTGCCAAGGATGCCTTTGGGATGAAAGAGTCACCTTAACAGCAGCCCAGACTGCTCTGCTTACCAGAGGATTTTCTGCTAGGTTGGGCCAAGCAGACAGTGCCTTTTGACTTGTCTAGACTAGGACAAAAGGTGTGTTTTAAACCAGATAGGCAGGGCAAGTTGCGTTTGAATATGTTAGCTGACCAGGGAGAACCACAGCTTCCTTGTCCTGCCCTATCTCCGCTGACATGTCTTAAATTGCTAAAGCAAGTATTTGACAAAAACCCCCTTACCATCGTCTAGACAAGCCCATAAAGACTAGCATCCCCGCACCAGCCTTAACTCATGCCCACAGAGCTTGACAATTGTGGCTTTGATTTAGGGACACATTTTAGTCTTTGTTGCTCAACACAATCAAGGGTAGCAAAATCCATTTCAGGAGAATATTATCCAAAGCAAGTCTCCTAATCCTAGAGAAGGAGTTGCATGAAGAGGAACAGCATGTTTGCACAGCCAATGTGTCTTTCTGCCTTGCCGCAGCAGACTGCAAAGCTGCCAAGCTAGAAAGGTATCTATTCGATTTATCCATCACTTAAAGCAAGAGAATCCACCTCTCCACTCAGGTCCATGGCATATAACTTTGCAAGGAGGTCATATCTTCATAGAAGCTTCAAAATGAGGCTAATGCCCTAATATGACAGCTGCTTTCTCTAAAGCGTAAAGAATATGGCAACATTATCTCACACTCCCTTTTGTGGGGGTTGCAGAGCTCTTACCAGAAAACAACTGTTTCAGTTTTGCTCTATAATGAAAATTTACTTCATTTACTTCAGAAACAGCAAACTCCATTTAATTAACTATTTGCTGGACCAAGTTTAAGAAAGAGCTTTCCAACTCCTTTCCCCAATAATTACAGCACTTACAATGCCTTTAAAAATGGTTTTACCTGTATTTACTAAGGTTTTCTAATTTAAAAATAAATGAAAATTTAATAGAATTAATCCCACTTAATAGAATGGGATGGCTCTGCTCCATGCCATTCTATTAAGAAACTGTATTCAGGAGAGAGTGTTGACACTTCAAGATGCTGAATTCTGCACCCTTCCGAAAAGATCATTAGAGTCCAATGTCCCAAAATGAGCTTAGAACACTGACAAGCCTCTGCAAATGGACAATCTCCTTTTCTAAAATAGCAGCTTTTCTACATGTTTCAACCAGACTTGGAATATCTCTTTTATATCTTCATGTATCTGACTCTACATTTTTCTATGGTAAAAAACAGGAAATAAAAAAATATCAGGAGTCCCAGGGGCAATTACATGAACCAAAACACAACACCCAAGCACCTTCCCAAACAATTAATAACTAATTTTTCCTTGTTAAGAGAAACTGATTTAAGCCAAAATCCAAATCATTTCCTAACCTCAACAGGCAGAAAAGCATAACGCATTTTATTGAAAGTCTGGAACCAGAAACTCATCTATCTTCACTCACTCCCACAACAGACAACAAAACCTTTATATCCAGTCATCGCCTTCTCCCCAAGCAGAATAATCTCATAGGTTGGTACCTGAATAATTTTATCAAGTTTTGCTTCATGTTTCAAAGCATCTTTAGTTTGTTAAGGTTGTTAAAGTTTTGCAATGTTGGCATTCTACAGTTTTATGTAACAACAGTGATGGGTTTGGAGGGGAGGAAGGGCTGCTTTAATTTCTTCTAAAAACATTCCCAGCTATTAACTGGCAAGATTTCCTGTATTTGCAAAAAATAATAAAATTAAGCCCTACTGCACCCTGGTGACATAAGATGGGGCAGAAACATTTAAAAACCTGTTCAAAATCACAAAGGGGGGCAGTTAACAGTGCAGGGGGCTGAATGGCTCCTGTCCCTCCCCAGCAGGCTCCCTCAGTCCATCTGGTGACCAGAAACACTCTCGGGACTTATTTCTTACCTCAGCGAATTATCTGGATGTGTCTCCATGTGGGACTCCAGCCCATACTTGCAAAAAAAATCTTTGAAACACACTGGACAATGATAAACTTCCTCCTCAGCCTTCTTATCCCCTTCACCGGAGTGACCATCCTCCACAACCTTCAGAGAGAGGGGAAAAAAACCTCACTACACCAAATTTTAAGCAACAAACCAAACATGCAATCCGTTTGAAGTCCTTCTCTTAAAAACGAAGCAGCGGGCTTAATCCGTAACTTTGCTGCAGACGACCAGAAATGACTCATTTCGGCAATAGAGAGGGGTGAGCGACAGACCCCCCACGCGTGTGTGAGAACGTGCACGATGGAAAAGGAGGCTCAGCAGGAGATAAAGCGTGTGGCTAAGTTACAGATACATCAGCTCTAATGAGAAACTGCGATTTGCACAGCTTATAAACCTGTATGTTTATATACCACTGAACTACCATTCCTCCCCCTTCAGAAAACCAGGCGAGCTGTCAGCCTCAATTATTTATGCCACTGAGATACTGCCAACTCCTAACTCAAGTGGTCCAGGGAAAAGCAATGAACTTCTGCATGTTTTCTATAGCCCTCTTCTGATTACAGGGAGAAAAGCATGCACAGAAACAAGGGATACTGAGCTAAATGGAACTGCTACTAGCTTGCCATTTAGAGATAGTAAGTTGAAAGGGTCGAGTTAAGTTTGGCAGCCACCACACATTTTGTATAAATGACTGAAATGCACTAAAATATTTCATAAACGAAACTAATGGAAATGTCTAGCCTTCAGATAAATATTTTCTGGTTGCTCTTGCAACTCCAATAATGCAGGATTATGCTACTGTGAAAGGGAAATGTACTACAGACTTTTCTCCCTCCAGATCAAGACAAAACCAGACTTAACTTGTTGCTGCTTTTGAAGTAAACACTGTTTTTTTAAAAGTTCAAATCACTATCCTGCAAGACTACTATGAAGTAAATGGGAGGAAAAAAAACTAGGGAAAAGCTGCAGTAGCAAAAGAATAGTTCATCCTCTTGCTATCTAACATCAATTATCTAATATAAATCATAAGCAAACCCAAAAATGTAAACAATAAAGAATTAAAAAAAAAACTGAATTCTTTTAATCTCTGAAATTAGAAATTCATTTTCAATCTCAGACAACAGAGTTGGCTACACAGGAAAAGCATGGTATCTTAAAATATATACCGGGCTGTAACAAGACCACATTTTAATATTTCTGTGCTGACTGCATGAACACAACAGGTGACAGTTTAGGAGATAGCCAGGAAAGTCTTTTGCTTCACACCCCATAAAGAACCTTTTTTGCAGGTGTCCTCTCCTCTCTGTCCATCTCAGCATCATGACTAAACTTCCGTTTCGAAGATAATCGCCTGCGCTTCAGCGGTGACGGGGGAGTTGTGCTTGCTGTGCTGTTCGGATCCTTCTCGTGAATCTTCATGTGCCTGAGCAGGAGGAGGAAGAAGACACAGTCAGCAAGCAAATCAGGGTGGAAAGTCCATGCAAATTTTAATGCCAACACCACTTCTAAGGTTTGCCTTTAAAGGATACCAGCAGAGATCCCATAAACCGAACTGCACTTCTGAAAGACAGCTGGGGTACTATCCAGCACGGGCCCTTTGCAGCGCCTGGGACCGTGCAGGGCCGCGGCAGGGAGCCCACCAGCTCTCCCCCTTCCCCCGATCCACCGCACAGCACTTGCCCTGCTACTGCCTGGCCCCATGAGCATCGTGCTTGTGCCTGTCCCCTATCATCCAACAGGCCCCACTTCTGCCTAGTACTGCACGGTAATCTACAGGCCTGGCCTCCCAGTCTTGTGGCAGTCTATTAAGTAAAAGCCTGCAGCTTAGCATCCACTTCTCTCAGTGCAAAAAAAGCACCCCATCTTCAGCTGGCTCTCCTTTTAGTTTCACACAGTACCCCAAATGGCTTGGTATATGCCAACGTCAGAGCAACACTTCTTAAATACATTTGTTTCCTTCTCACCGGTGCATCTCACCGGTGCACCCCAGTATCGAATTGCAACTGCAACTTTGAAGTCAAGATACATCTGGTCACACTGTTAAGCTGCAGCAGGTTTGGCTTGCAAAACTCCGTATTGCCAAAGCATGTTCACAAACCTGCTTCCCCAGGAAAACAACTATTTCTTGTCACAAAGACACTGGAAAGTGGAGAGGGACAAAATGGCTCAGGAAGCAATCTCATGAATATCTGTATACCTGACCTGCTTGCCTCTTGGTTTTCCACATCTGCAACCTGAGGATGACACTGTTGCTAGTTCTGGGGTATTGCTCCCATGCTTCTGAGTACTAAAAGCTCAAATTGTAAATTTTCTTTTTTTTTTTAAAATGTAGGGCCTTTAGTCTCACTTCAAATTTATAGTGCTTTTGGAAAAAATCAAACTTAGGCTCCTACATGCAATGGAAATTTTTGCTTCTAATAGGTAGAAATTGGAGTGCGGGAGAGAGCTGCCCTTTGTCTGTATGACTGACTTCAAAGCAGCACACGGGAGACAATGTTAATGGCATTTGGGCATATCCTTCAGAAGTCACACCCCCAACTCGCTTCAGGACCGTGCCATTTAATTTGACTGCACGCTATCATGTTTAAACATGAGAGAATGTTGTAACCTAAACGAGTCTCCTATGTCCTCATAACTGCTCGGGTGTTATGACATAAAATCCGTTTTAGTTTTGGATGCCAAGGGCATGATGCTTCAAGAGAACACACTGGACCAAACGGACCCATAGGCAGACTCCACTGGAGCTGCTGGGAGGACTGTCTCCTCACACAATGCTTTTTTTAACATTTCCGTTCACAATCTCTGAACATTTTTAAAAAAAAAAGAAGGCATCTAAATTACCATCTCAAACTACAGCAAGGCTTCTGAGGGTGTTATGCGGGAACAGCCTCAAGCCAAAAGCACTACACGTATCAGAAACGATGCAAGATTAAAATGGCTGTTCAGCTACTGCCTGCCTTCAACGCCCAGCAAGGCTGGGGCTGCTCGGAGGACCAGGTCCACATGAGGAAAAACGTGGCGTCCCCAGCCCCCCAGTAACCCTCACTGGTCACACAAACAGTGGACAGACGCTGGTGACACCTGTCAGTCACACTGTGGGAGGTTCAAGGAGGAGAGAGCAGATGTGCCCAGCAGGTTGGGCACCGCATCACGGAAACGTTCCTGAATTTGTCTGACCTCTTCCCCTGCCGATCGCCCGACTGGGAGCAGAAGGAAGGTTGAAGCTCCGAGGGTTTGGCTCTCTCCAGGTTCGACAGGACCCAGGGAGAAGTCGGAGCGCTGACACAGCCTCTGCAGTGCAGTGCACTCCCCCGCCTCAGCCCTCTGGTAGCCCCGCCACCATAGGCGCCAAAGGTAACTGATTTATCTGCATGAATCCAGTGCTACCTGGTCTCACAAAATCTACGGGATATGCATCTACAGGTATTGTACTGCCTCATTGTCTTTATTCTTTTTTTGGTCTTTTTTTTTCCCCTTTAAGGCACTGATCTAACTTCTCGTGCTAGCTAAGTCAATCCCAGAGCTTCCTACGGGTAATAAATCAACAGTGTGAGGAGCAGTTGTCTGTATTCATGCAAGAATATGGGAGAAGAAACCAGTTATTTATTCAAAGGGTTTCTGTCCACAATGGTTGAAGATAAAACTCGAAAAGCATCTGGGAACAACAAAATGTAGTATTCAATTGCACAGGCAAAGCAATTGAAGGTGGTTTGTTGTTTGTTTTTTTTTTCCTCTTGTTGGTAAAGACTGCTTTTCCAGTTTCGATGAGCTCTTGAAAGGGAGACAGAGGCTTTTGCATGTGCCTGTCTGTCCCCCCCACCCCAGACACACACACATGGCCTGCATGCTTAACCTTCTGGCAGCTTGGCTGATGCATAGCTAATATTACTTGGCCAGTTACTTTTCAGAGAGCTAGAGAGCAAAAGCAGTCAAGCTAAACCACATTCACCAGAAAACAAACAAACAACAAAAAAACCTGCTATGCATTAAGCGTGGGACTTTTTGTTCCTATTTTCTTTTAAAGTCTCCTTTCTGCCAGTAACAAGTATGCAGAACTCTTGCTTAGTAGCTACCCATGCAAAACAGCTTCCTCAGGGCTGAGTTCTTTCCGCCTGCCATTTGTCCACCTGTTGAACCCTGCCTGTTTCGACGGAGCTGCTCCTACTTGAGAGGGGTGCAATGGCACATCCACAGCGTACCAACAGGAGAAGCTGTTGAGACCTCCAGGTAAGTGCCAGTCCAACCTGGCACCTCTGCCTGGCATGACCTAATGCATGCAAACACACCGGCTCCTGCAAGTCCCAAAAGTAGTCCAGCCGTGTTTGCAATATAATGTATGCTAGTAAGGCAGGGCTTGCTAACATGGGTGCAACACCACAGTGACGGGCCTTTGCTACATCTGGTATCCAAGTCATCGGCTGCCCCCAGCTTGCAGTTCTCCTTCCTGCGACTTGCGCACTTTTGCCATGCCCTAAAAGCGAGAGCAGAATCCGTACCCACAGCAAGGAATGTGGTAATCCCTTCATGTTTTAGTTTTGCATATTTGAAAGGAAACAGCCCCAGCTATTGAGCTATAAACAGGAAGACACCCTGACTGCACCTTTGACTTCTACTGTGTAGGTCAAATATCACAGCCGCTGTGATAGCTCTCTGCATGTGATCATTAAGGAAAAAAGAAAAATCTGAAACCAAAGCAGCAGGTTGCAGAGTTCTCAAGGAGAGTCGCAACCTGTCCACGTTACAGCCAGCAGGTTTGTTCCTTTGGCAGGTTAAGCAAGTCTCACTACATCAAGTCAAGGGTGGAGAGGAAAAAGATTACTAGAGCTACAGCCCAAGATAAGCGGGAAGATAAAGCCGAGCAGTACAAAGGATAGACACAACCTTCATCTCTCTTTTACTTTGCAACATGGATGTCATTCTGCCTCGACAAAACATTTATCACCCAACTTGGGTTGAACTGCAGCAGATGCCAAGTCACATCCATATCCACAACCTTTCTTTTAAGTTAAACACTCCCTTCACCAAGGCTTCTTTTAGTTAAAAAGTTTCCTAACTATAATTTGAGGGGGGGATCCTTTAGAAGAGTTTGCCTTGGTTAGATCTTATATATAACGCTGAAAATGCTCAACCTCACTGTTTAGCCTGCCAAGATACAAGGAGAAGAGGAAAAAAGCTGTGCTTAGAAGTTATTTTCCCATTGTGACTATAACAACATATTTTGGCCTGACAACACTGGCATACTTTGAACATGAAAGCTAGGCTCGTAAGTCAGCCTGGCTTTCAGCATCTTACAATGATAAAGGAAAATGATACGACATTCGTCAGTTCCAAAAAATAAAGATAAACACTCAACACTTTAAGTGAGAATGTAGTGCAAAAAGAAGGGCAAAATAATGACATGCACAGAAATGCTCATGTTCAGCCACAGATGCAAGTTACAGTAACATGTGCCAGCAGCTCTGAAGTGACCACTACTGCAGCTCAGAAGAGAGCCAGAGCCACAGCAGATGAACCGTGGCTTTTTTTTCTAATTTATATCAATGAATTGTGGCTCTGAGCCATCCTGCAGAACAACCCAAGAACAGCAGACAAGCTCAGGAAGGTAAAGAGCCCTGAAACCTGTTCTTCATATGGTGGTTATTAGTCTCCCCAGCATGCATGCAAGTACACATACGTTTGGACAGTACTGAGGCTAGAACACTAAAATGCAACCACAATACACAGGATGAAAGAAAGGAGATAAAAATTTGAGCTTAATATTAGGGAGGACTCCCTTGCACTAAGTGCTAGCTGGCCTTGATTAACCTCTCAGAGAAAGTGGTGGAACTCTATTAAAATGAGACCAGACAGAGAGCCAGAAGAATTTGCGAAGAATAATTCCGAAATGGAAAGAGGAAATTAAGTCTTTTCCAAACAAGGTCTGATCCACCTCTGAACTAATCTCTTAACGTTTAAGAACTGCTATGCAAAAAATGCAGATAACTTGCTACACACTACGCTTTTCGCAGCACAGCTGTATGTGAAAAAGCTCTCCTCGTAATCTCTTCCCTCCCCCTCGCACAAGGAATTTCACAGGTGAGCCAAGAGGATCCAACTGTGCTATGACTGTGTGCCAGTCAGCCCTCCCAACAAAATCACATTTTTCAAGTACTTGACTGCCTTTCATTCCATCCTCCCCATGAGAATCACCTTCCGCTTCCCCTCTTCTGCCACAACTTTCCTCTCCCCTCTAACGATCACGTGAACAGGATGACTAAGATGATACTGCACAACAATTCTCCCAGCTTCTTTCCTTTTTTTTTTTTCTTTTTTAAAACAAATGGGCAGAAAAAGTTTTCAGCCCCACACTGTAATGCAGAGCGTGATTACAGAAGGGTGACTATTCCACCAGAACAGTAGCAAGTGAATACTTCACTACTTTACA